AGCCAAGAATGTTCATCTGGACAAAGTGCTTGATTCCGAAAAACCCAAAACTTTATAAAAAAAAAAAAAGGAAACAAAACCAAAATAACTTCTCCGACTGGAATGCAGGAATTTTTGCTAACACCTTCAGGGCTGCCCAGGGTAAAATTAAGTTAGCAGAGGCTCATCCTGGGACAACAGCGAGATCTAGTGAGATTTTCTTTTTCTCTTCACTGCCCTGGTGTCTTTATACTTCCCCAAATGCCTATAGTTTCTTCCTTTTTCCATCCCTTCTCACCTTCATCCTGCCTGTCTACACCCGGGGCTAATTTCCCAGAGGCAGTGCATGTTCCAGGTGTGTGCGCGCACGCACGTGTGTACGTCCGTGTTCTGGGTTTAGCATCTTACCTCCATTAAAAGTCTCCCGTTACTTTAGACGACTGGTTCTCAAACATCAGCTGCATCTGAATCAGCTGTTTTAAATGTAGAAAATTTGCATTTCTAACAAACTGCCCGAGGACCCTGCTGCTGCTGGTCCACGGACCACGCTTTGAGAACCACTTGGGTTAGCTCAATTCAGCTAACTCAGAGACTTATCCGAGCTAAGGTGAGTTGTCTCGTTTAGGAAAAATTTCCTGGACATAAAATCATCAAAAGCGCCAAGTTTGAGCACGAGTCAGACCACCGACGAACTATGCCAACTTGGACAAGTCCCTGGAGCCAGCTGACCACACTCTACAACACCACCCCAACCCCCGCGGCAGCCTTTTATCAAGTTAATACCAGGCATCACCCAAGGTAGACCGAATCAAAATCTTGGCACAGGGCATCGACATTGTTAAGCTCCACAGGTGATTCCCCTGTGCTTTAACCCCTCTGAGCTTCGGCTTCGGCTTCTGGAGAATGGGTATAATAATTTTTAGCACACAGGACCATTGAGATGAATAAACACAAATGAAAATGAAAACCCCTTCATAAATGACAAAGTGCCCATCAAATGTTAGGTGTTAATTTCCCTCGCAGAAAACATCTAAATTTTAAAGGAGGTCACCAGTACCTCTGTTAATATCTAAGTCAGGACAGATATTTCTGGCACAAGTTAAACTGCTGGAGGAACGCGGAGGAGAGAAAAACATTTTAACACATTCACTTACTTCACCAACACACAGGCAACTCCTTGCTTCTGTTTTAACGGCATCTCTTCATATTTTCCACCCGGTGGAACAAAGTTACGTTACTCTTGGTGGCTCTGCAGTGGTTTAGTGACCCCAATTAAGTCTAAACCAGGAGTTGGCAAACTTTTTCGGTAAAGGGCCAAATAGTAAATATTTTAAGCTTCTCAGGCTACACAGTCTCTGTTGCGGCTACCGAACTCGGCCACCCTGGCTTGAGAGCAGCCGCAGACAACTAGGAAACGAATGCGTGGCTGTGCCGATTAAACTTAACTTACAAAGACAGGGGGCAGGCTGGATTTGGCCCACGCGCTGTCATTGGCCAACCTTTGCTCTAAACTTTCGAGAAAAACGCCAAAATGTTCGAAGTGGACTGCAGAAAGCCGCTTTCTAACGAAACAACGAGCCAAGAGCCGTTTTCTACTCAGGCTCACGTGTGTGGGCGGGAAGTGGGAGATGACGCAGGAAGGACGACCGGGCAGAGCCCACAGCCGGCCGGTGGCTGCTACTGACATCTAGTGGGTGGAGGCCAGAGGTGCAGCTAAACATCCTACAGGGCAGCGGCCAGCCCCACGCAAAGAATGATCCAGCCCCAACCACCACTAGTGCCGAGGTTGAGAACCCCTGAGCACCACACAGCAGTGCAGTTGTGACTGGGGAAGTTTGAAGGCTGAGAAATGAGACTTAGAGACCTCAGGCCAAGTTTCTTTCCACCTCGTTTCTCTGGACAGGTTCCTTCAGGAATCCAATCACTGCAGCCATCGCTGGTCTCTTCCTCTGGAAGTGAGAATCTTGGAGAACTCCAGATCTTCGAGCTGGAAGTCAACTCAGGAGATCACCTCATTCAGACTTGTCACCTAAGGTGGTGCTTCTCAAACTTTACTCTGCACGCAAATCCCCTGGGGATCTTGTCCAAATGCAGATTCTGCCTAAGCCGACCTGGGCGGGACTTGGAATTCTGCATTTCTAACCAGCTCTGGGGCTGCAGACACGGCCAGTCCCTGGACATCATCCTGGCTCTCAGGCACAAGGAAAGGTCCCTGCCTCACAGGTGATGTTCCTGAAGTTTGTTAAAGGTGACACACAGCTCCCAGGTCACTCAGAGAGAAATTCTGAAAAGAAACTGAAAAAGACTTCCTGGATTCTCCAGCTTTTGCCACCATAGCAGTGTCTCCCAAGAACTGGTCTTCGGAACTTTCCAATTTAGTTAAGCACAGAATCTACTCTTTTCTTTAGGTGCCCAGCAGCATCCGGCAGAAACACTGTATCCTGGAAACACTTTGGGAACCGCATGCCCACTGCATGCAGACCAGCTAGTTCTCCCCACTCTTTGAGACCCCTACCCCTTGGAGCAACTCGGCACTTGGCAACTCCCTAGAGAGAGTTCCTTGGTGATCATGTAAACCACCTACATCCAGTCCTGGAAACACATTAGACTTTCTGGGGAAAGACTGAAGTTTGAGAAATGTCAAAAAAGGAAAAGTGTTCAGCAGAAGGAAGCTAGCTCCAATTTCCGCTTGGGTCAGCAACAGTGGGAAACAGGTAGAAGCCCTGAGAGAGAGCATGAGGGCGAGAAGGGAACCTGGAGCCCCGCGGAAGGAAGGAATGTACCACTTCCAGCAAGCATCCTCCGGACTCAACCCGTCAAGACGGCCTGCGGGACGAGCATGTATGGGTGTGTTTTCAATTTCTCTGACAGAATCTGTTTGGATTGAGGACGGCTGTTTAATCTTTGAAATATGTGTTCCATGACAAATGCTGGAATCACATAGAAATTGCTCCCTCCGTTCTGGGAGCCAAACCCTGACCAAAGGGGATTGGAAATCCCCGCAAGGTGCTCTTTGGTTATTGCTCATTCGGCAAGAAAAAGCCATTTCTCTAATGAAATGCAGCGTTGAGGAACTGCCAGAAATAGATGCTCCCTATTTGCCTTCACAGATGGTAGCTTCTTTCTAGCCAATTAACTACCAATGAACTGGGGAAGCACTGTAACAGCAGGCCCGCCAGGCTCCCCTGTGCTCTCCCGGAGAGTGATGTCCCGGGAGGCCGTGGAAGTTTCTGGACCTGTCTCAACTCATAAAAGCCCCGGAAGACGCCCACCTGACCCGGACATGTATTTGCAAGGCAATTCTGGTTAGCTCTAGCTAAATCCCCAGAATTAAAACTGATGGATTGTGGCTTTTCAGGCAAATCCTGTTGGTTTTCTCTCTCCTTCTGGCTTTTAACTACATCATGTTGAAAGGACACAGCCAAGGCCCGTAAAAGGCGGGTCTTCATGAGTTTTGCTTAATGAGACTTATTTCCACATTAACACCAGGCTGGGGAGAGCTTTCTCTGTCTGGAAGTGTGGTGTCCATTGGGTTTTACATTGTTGGAAAAAGAAGCAAGTTACACACAGTCTTGTGTTGCAGGAACTCTTGCTCCAAATCTGAAGCTAATCAATTATTTAGCATCCGTGCGTATTTGTGCTCCTCTGCTCAGATGTCCATATAAAGCCACTGAGAAATGGAATTTCCTACTAAGTGGTCTCTTTTCTAATAATTTCCCATTAATTTGGAGTCAGTGAGGGTTTTTTTTTGTTTGTTTTGTTTTGTTTTACATCCCTTAAGAGATCTTAGATCTTCCTTATTTTGTTTGCTTTGTTTCATTTTGTTTTGGGTGGGGAATGACCACAGGAAGAGTCGGAGAGAAAGACGGTTGGCTCAACCTGGGTTATCTTTTAGGAGTCTGATCATTAAAGTATAGTACGTCCTTAAACAACACAAAGTTTAATTTCCAGTGAGGGGAGGCAGTGAGGGCAGACCCGTCTGACAGGGGAGGATACCAGCCCCGGGGACAAGATGTATGGGCAGTCTTTATGCTGGTGTTTGGTTTTCAAATTTTCTGCAAAGTTGAAAATTTCTATATAAAAAGCTGGTGAGGCAGGACATAATTCAAACCCAGCAGGCTAAGCAGGATGGATTTTAAAGCTGACCGAACAGATGTCACAATCTTGCATGACCATCTTGAGACTGTATCTTGAACGTTGCCGGGTACCTCAGCAGAACCCAGTCTCGAGGCTCCACTGGGTAGTGAGAGGCTGTGAAATCGGTCTCCCTTCCAGTTACAACATGCTTCTTGAGGCCTCTGTGTTCTCTTTTTAAAAATAGACTTCAAACATGTCGTGTTTAGTAAGGTGCCAATGTTTACACAGAGTGTTACGATTAAAAAAAAAACAACCCACATTGCTCTGTGGTCGTTCCAACACCAAATGTGAATACGTCTCATAATAGTTGCACGCAGCCTCCTTTCCAGCCCAACTGAGACAGCAAATAGTTATGACCGCGCCGGTGAAAATGGAGTCTATTTAATGTTCCCCAAGTTAGATAGACAGCCTGCCCCCTCATGTCAACCGTTTCAAAGGTTAGAAGCTGAGTCTGACAGAGCAGTGCCCACGTGGAATTAAAATGAAGACATAATATTACAATTACTTGAAATTCAATCGTTCTCCTCCTGGGGTTTCTCACCTTTTCCAGCTCAGCATCTGAATAATGAATACAATGAATACTGAACAGAATTCGCACATGTTGATAATTTAAAGTAACCAGTTCTCACCTAAGTGAAACAAACTGCTGGAAATGTTTCAGTTTCTGTGACTTATTAGGGCCGGAAAAAAAATATCTATTGACATGTCTTCTCCTTTGTAAGGTCGTCAGGAAGGACCGAATAGAGAACTTTGAGATTGCCTGGTTCTAACTAACGGCAAACACTGTATACTGCTTTGCTTCTAGCAAGCCTGCTTTTCCATCAAAGCCACACGCCCATCTCCATTCCCACGGGATGCGCTGAAAAACACAAGAAATTAACATGTCACTTTCGGGAGGCTGTTTATTTGCTGTCTGTCCTTCCACAACACATTTCCTCAGTAATAGAAAAGGAGAGCAAGAAGTAGATTGATGTGCCTTGTTACAGAACTCTTTTTCCACAATGTATTTATATTTATTCACATTAAAAAACCGATTCCAAAAGAATCCAGAAAGTTCTACAAATTTCTACGACCTTTGGTTCTGGAAAAAGAAAAAAACCAGTATTCTGAGAAAGGCTTGTTTCGCCTCCACATCCCGGTTCTACTTGTCTTGTTCATCACATCACCAGGTATCGCGGATGAAGCTCTACATTCGGATACGGCGAACACCTTCGGAATCCCCCCAACGCATACTCCAAGGAAGTGATAGAGGGGCCCAGCAGCACATTCTCCAGTAAGTTTGTCTGAGGCTGGCGCGGGCGGCTGAGTCAGGGCTCCAGGAGAGGCGGGCGGTAGTCACTCTGCAAGCCCCCTACCCTGGCCCCAACCTGCCTGCCTGACGCTGGGCTCTGTTAAGAAGAGCATGAACCCCACGGGCATCTCCACGCTAATGCTGGGGAGAGGATGCAAGTCCCCTCCGCGACCTTGGCCCAGAGTCAACCCCCGCCTCACCCTCCCCAGCCTCAGCTGGAGGAGGGGGGATTCTGCGGTTTCACTGACCTTTGGCTATCTGATCCCTGTTTCGTGTCCCCTCTGAAGCTCCCTGTTTCAGCTAACGGGGTGTCCTGGATTATATAAATCCAGGCTATGACTAAGACTCTTCAGGGAGCCAGCGCAGGAGAGCTCAGTGAAGACTTTTTAGGACTGAAAGTCCAGGAGAATCCAGCTTCATTCACATTGTTCCATGGAAACCCCAAAAGCAACACTAATATTAGGATCCGTTACTCAGTACTTACCTGCTGTGAACCAGACAACAAAATTTCATTCTATTACAGGACCAAAGATTATATTCTGTACTATACGCTGATCTTTCCACATGGAAGTGGCTACCTGATATTATTTTGGAGGCCAATTGATTACAGAAACAGATTTTCCATCATTTGTCAGCCTTATCTGACTTACACTTCTTTAAGTCAGGTAAAGCATTTCAGTATATTTCCTTCTATCAACTAGAAGTCTCATCAAAATTCTGATAGCTAGATTTTTATCCAAAATGAACATTCTTACAAGGGTTAAGAAATGATGGATTCTGATTGGGAGTTCTACATCAAATGCAAGAGAAGTGGGGAACTATAATGTTATAAGAGAGCATCTGGAGGAGGTCAGCAAGAGAGTGAAGAGGGCAGGCAGGACAAGGACAGGGACACAGTCACAGCATCCAACAGAGCAGACAAGTATTCTCCTCCCAAGGGCCAATCCCCCTCCCTTACTCAGAGAATCTCCATTTCACTCAGAGTAATACGGCTACTTAGCTAAATATTTTCCTTCCCAGACTCACGTGCAGCTAGGGGAGCCACGTGATGGAATTCTAGCCAATGGATGTAAGCTAAGCGTCTCTGGGAAAGCTCTGCTTTCCCGATATAGACATTTGCACCTTGTCACTTGCCTTTTCCTCCCTCTTTTTGCTTAGAAAGCAGACATCAGACCTGTTGGTGCAGTAACCATCTTATGACTATGAGGCAATAAGCCAAAGGACAACGGGTAAGGCTGGTGGGAAAAAATACCAGTGTGGGTCCTCAGTGATCTAGAAGGAAGACAGTCCTGAGTGCCCACCTCCCGGTTTCTTATTCAGCTCTTCATTGTGTGATCAGTTTCCTATTATTTGCAGCCAAATGCACACCTGATATATCGGTATCCAATGATGAGATTGAAAGGGATAAGGATGACTCCGTGAAAAGGGAAGAACAAAGACGAAAGTGCAAGGGCCAGTAGGATCACACAATGGACCTGAAAACCACAGCTTAATTCTTTCCCACGGACAGGACAGAAGTCCTGACTAAAAGAATAAATGTATCATTACGTTCAATACAGAGATGCCCCATGCTCAAATTGGCTGTCTAGAATTTAACTCTGTCCTTCAGTGCTTTGATTGCTAGTATGAAAGGGCATGCTTATACATTAAAGCTGGCTGTTTTGCATCCTACAGAGAAGAGAATGGAACAGATTTAGAATCAATTTGGTACTTCTCTTGCAATCCATTTGGAGGAGTTCCCACTGAGAAATCATATGCCTCTTCCTCTCTGCAGCCGTATTTAATAAGATCTGAGAGGAAAAATAAGTAGTAACACGGGGTAGCCTGTTTTGACTCTTGTATACGATGTTTGGAGATTAAAGCCACTATGGCACGCTGGCAGAATATAGGCTATGGCCTATGGAAAGTGCTACACTGATCCATATTTAAGATGCACAGGCAACAGCAATAAATAGAGGAAGCAAATGCAGTGGGGGATGCAAATCAATGATGGGTACGTATACCCTCAAAATAAGGATGAAGCCCTTTTCATGGCAGGAAACAAAGTGCAGCACGAAAGGCTCCAACAGTTCATCATGCAGTCCCAATATGCTGGGCTTGCAGACAGAGATGATTTCTTCATATTCAACGTGGCAGGTGGCCTGACATTGGTTCAGAAACTGATGGATAAGCAAAATAATACGCTGAGAACAGGAGCCAGCAATGGACGGTCATGAGTGAACCTACTGGCATACTTGTAGCTTTCACATTTAACTTCTTTTTCTTCTCCAACAAAGGAAGTGCAGATATCTTTAGTCTGATTCAGTAACATAGCAGCAAAACCTCAGGAACCAATAAATAAGGAGGCTGACACGCCAGTACCCCTTGGCCTTTCAGGCTCAAAGCTTCATCAACATCAGTCTTCAGCAGAAGGGGCAAATGTTTCTTGACTCAGCCATTGTGTTCCGTGTCCCTGGACAAACCACATCATTTGTACCCACCCACATGCCCCCATGGCAGTTACTCAACTCATTAGGACACACAGCTTGAAACTCATAAGGGGTTAAAGCTATAAAATGCCTACTCATTGATGTCTTTTTTTTAAGTTTCATTCTTCTTCCCCGCCTATCAAACCAAGCTTTTTTCCGCTGCCCCCAGTGCATGATTGTTCATTAGGGTAATAACATATCATTTGTTTTACTTTTAAAATGACACTGTTGTGTTTTTCTTAAAATAACTGCCATCTTGTTTCTAATTAAACATGATGGATTCAGGGTCCTGGTTTGCCATCTGAGCCATATGTCTCAGAACATCCTTTTTCGTGATGATGCCAAGAAGTCTCCTAGAAAAGAAACAAAATAGAAGAAGGAGGTCAGCCTTGCAATGCTGACTCATGCCTGTCCCTAATCCCCAGTGCCCCGCCCACCCGGACACACAGAGAGACATTTCCCAGCGTCCCCCTGTGGATGGGTGGAGCCAATGGAGTGAGCTCTGGCCAATGGCATGTGGGTAGAGGGGAGAGATGCCCCTCCCAGGCACCTGCACATTTCCTCACTCTCTCTCATCTGCCAGCCGGAGGCAGAGGAGCCAGAGAAGGACTCTGAGGTCACAGAGGGCTGAATTAGGAGCCATCAGATTCAAAGACCTGGGTCCGTGAATGACCGTGTGGGGCAGAGCCCATGCCTGCTGCAACCCACGCTGGATGTGAGTGACAGGGGAGAAAAATTAACCTTTACTGTGTTAGGCCACTAAGACTGCAGGCTTGTTTATTACAACAGTAAGCCTACGATGACTAATACACTCCCCTAAATTTCAAGACTATAATCAATTAAAAAGGGCTTATGAAAGCCATTGTCAAAACTTAACCACACTGCAGAAATTCCAAGTATCAGATATTTTAGGTATAGTATGTTTTAAGTATTACTGGAAGGGTAAAGTTTGACATTCACTTCTGACCATATATGTAAATTACTTCCTCTTCCAAAATTCCATGGCTTTCAACTTACAAAAACAATGCCAGGGTCCCTGGTACAGGGCCACCTAGACTGTACACTGCTCAACTCCAGGGAGCACCGTTCACAAACATGACAAGGTAAACGTACTCCTACATCACACATACACACTTGCGCAACTGTTCACAGCAGCCCTTGACTCACTTTCAGTTTTATTAAATACTTCAGTGATCACCTGCTGGGATCAACTCATGCCCCTTGGGGAAAGCAAAAGGTTGAAAGAAGGGGATGTAGATAAATTCTTTGGAGGAAAAAAGTTCCACTGCCAGAGTAGTTTGCAAGATGCTGCTCACCATAACTCCAGGAAGAAGGGAATAGAGGAGTAAAGCTATTACAATGACAGGTGTCCACCCTGTATCTGTGTAAAATGATGACATACCAACAAAGCAGAAAACAATTGTAATACACTGTCATTTATTTAATTAAAGCCAAACTGTTAAACTCATCTCTTACTAATAGAAAGTGAGAGGAAAATAGCAAAAGGGGCCTTGAAAAGCATGCTGAACGAAAAGAATAATGACAATACAGATGACAAAACACTGAAAGAAAGTGCCATGACTAACCTGATAATCACACACACACAAAAAGATTGAGGGGAATGTAACAAGCAGGACAGAATTAGAAAATCAGTATCTTGCAACCCCCAGTGTTAAGAATTAGTTTAGTCAATAATTATCAATGGATTCCAAAACCACTGGGTAAATGGTTGCTGGAAAACAGAAAATTCCCATGGTCTCAAAGTATCCCTCCACTGATTACATACAAAGAGAAAAATGTCCCTTTACAATGGAGGGCTCTGGCCATCCCCACCTCATCTCAGTGATGGAGCTTATCACCAACAAAGTCGGAAAAGCTGACACTATGACATCATCTACACTGGCATGCTGCCCAAAACTACTTAAACCAAATCAAACCATGAGGAAGCAATCAAAAAAATTCAGAATGTGGGACTACTGATCTGGACTCTTTTTTAAAAGATGTCATAAATAACAACTAAGAAAGGCAGGGAACTGTTCTAGAACAAAAGACTAAAGAGGCAAAACAACCAAATCCAATGTGTGAACTTTGAATGAATTCTGGATGGAAATTTGAGCTCGATATTGAATGATACATTATTATTAATATTGTGCAATTACAGCTTAGCAGTTATGTAAGACTGTCCTTACTCTTAGAAGATGTATGCTTCATACATAATGGCCAAAACTTGGAAGGAACCAAGATGTCCTTTAATAGGTGAATGAATAAACAAACCGGTACTTCCAGACAATGGAATATTACTCAGCATTAAAAAGAAATGAGCCAGGAAAAGGCATGGCACAAGTTGAAATGCACATCACTAAATGAAAAAAGCCCATCTGAGAAGATCACACACTGTGTGATTCTAACTCTAGACATTCTGGAAAAGGCAAAACTATGGAGACAGTCAAAGGATCAGTGGTTCTCCTGGGCTTGGGGGAGGGAGGGACAAGTAGGTGGTCACAGAGGATTCTTAGGGCAGGCAAACTATTCTTCATGATACCACAATGGTGGATACATGTCATTATACACCTGTCCAAACCCACAGGATGTACCACACCAAGAGTAAATCTTAATGTAAACGATGGATGGTAGTCAATAATAACATATCATTTCTGCCTCATCAACAGCAACAAATATATCACACAAATCCAAGGCATTAACAGTAAGAGAAACTGTGAGGGGACAAGAGAGAGAACTCTGCACTTTCTGCTCCATTCTTCTGTAAACCTAAAACTACTCAAAAAATAAAGTCTATTAATTAAAGAAAATCAGATTCTTAAGTGAGAAGAAAGTGGTTGCCTGATGGGAGGGGGTGGTGGAGAAGGACAGAGCCAGGAATTGTTCTCGTTCCAGCTGTTTAGAGAGACCTGACTTTAACCAAGCTCATATACTCTTTTAAATACATTTCTTTTCTTATTCTTTTAAAATTTTTAAAGATTTTTTATTGAAGTGTAGTTGATTTACAGTGTTAGTTTCAGGTATACAGCAAAGCGATTCAGTTATACATATATGTACATATATTTTCTTTTTTTTAATTGAAGCATATAGTCAGTTACAATGTGTCAATGTCTGGTGTACAGTACAACGTCCCAGTCATGCATATGCATACATATATTCATTTTCATATTCTTTTTCATTAAAGGTTGTTACAAGAAATGGAATACAGTTCCCTGTGCTATACAGTAGGACCTTGTTGATCTATTTTATATATAGTAATGTGTATCTGTTCATCCCAAACTCCTAATTTATCCTTCCCCACCCTTTCCCCTTTGGTAGCCACAGTTTGTTTTCTATGTCTGTGAGTCTGTTTTTGGTTTGTAAACAGAACTTGCATCACTTTTCTTAGATTCCACACATAAGTGCTATCATATGATATTTGTCTTTCTCTGTCTAACTGACTTCACTTAATATGATCATCTCTAGGTCCATCCATGTTGCTGCAAATGGCATTAATTTCATTCTTGTTTATGGCTGAGTAAATATATTTCTATAATTTATAGAAATACAGTAAAATCTAATATGTTCCATAAAACAAAATGCTATTGTACTAAATCCTCCAAGCTGAGTCTGAGCAGTCAGCCTGGACTGGCCTAACACAGCACCACAGATGAGGTGGCTTAGCAACAGAAATGCATGTTCTCACAGTTCTGGATGCTGGAAGGCCAAGATCAAGGTGCTGGCAGCTTTGGTTTCTCCAGAGGCCTCTCTCCTTGGCTTGCAGACAGCCGCCATTTTGCCATGTCCTCACATGGCCTTTTTCTCTGTTCAAGCATTCCTGGTGTCTCCTCTTTAGCTAAGGACACCAGTCCTATCAGATTTGGGCCCCACTCTTATGACCTCACTTAACCTTAATTACCTCCTTAAGGACCCCATCTCCAAATACAATCACATTGGAGGTTAGGGCTTCACCTGATGAATTGGGGGGGTGCACAACTCAGTCCACAACAGTTCTTCAACTAACTCCCTTTATAATCAAAAAGGAATAGTTATACGGAAAGCAGCTCACGTCTATAAGATGCTAAGAAAGCTGTGGTCATCAGAGAAGTAGCAGTGTGTGTGAGCAGTTTGGGCCACAAAGGTGGAACACCTTTCCATCCACAGTGGGAGGACTTCCGCTGCTGGCGGCTGCCAACAGTAGACAGTCCCTCAGCTTACAACACTCTTTTGTCCTTTCAGACATTTATTTTCTACTTGAAAACCTGGCTCAGGACACTGCCCTCTGGAATACCTGGGGAACATCACTCAAATTGGATTACATCCCTGTTCCTTGGTAGATAACAAGCTCCTTGATTTTTTTTTTACACTTTTGGAGCCTTCTCCAGTTCTCACTCACAGAGATGCTCAGTAAGATGCTGATTAAACCAATGTTGCTTTGAAAAAAATACAACTTGTTAGCGTCTGCAAAGTGATAAGAAATTTACTGTAACACACAGAGATACTCCTCCCGTATCAGTAAAGCCTGTTTTTTGCTTCCTTCTATTCATCCTGGAGACAACAGCAAAAGATCAAGCATCTGCAGTCCTGACAAGCCCATCTTAAAGCTTGGTAACTACAGCATCTGGAAGTCAAGCTGGTTACAATGGTTCTGGGGAAATCTGAATTCAGGAGCTGCCTTGGGTTCGGGCATAAACTGTGCCCTAGCCTGCAACAATAATTATCAAAAAAGAAGAAAGTTGAATATCCTTCCAGAAGGAGGGAGCATTAAATCCAGCAGGGTTCGTTCGAGGTGTGAAATGTCCTACTTGATATAAATCAAGTGTTTAAACTTCCAGCCCCTTTGGATAGCAGTTCAACTGAACCTGGGGAATGATGAACGCTTATCTGTGACCATGAACATAATTCATCTTAGGGCCGCTGGGCTCTGGTGAGGCCACCCCAGCCAGGTCCCCGAGGCCCACCTAGCAGGGCTTGGGGAAAGCTGACACCATCTCCCCTGCTCGCTGCTTCTTTCTAGATCCTCTGTGGGGAAAATGCCAAATTCACTCTTGGCCACTGGAGGTTTCTAGACTCCGGCCTTATGGAGACCAAGACTTCTCTGGCCCCTGGTCTGGTTTCACGACTACCTTGGAGCCTAGGGCCTGAGAAGTCCTGCAGACAACACAAGTGAAGGGTACGAGCTGGGCTTCTCAGCAGAGAGCAGGGAAGGCACATGGCGACGGAATTCATCAAAAACACGAGCTGGCTTGAGCCGGGTCTGCCCTGGCTGAAAGCCCGAGGAGATGAAAGGCCCCGCAAACAAGGATCTCTTGCCAGCACTAACGTATCAGCATCTGTGTTTGTTTAAAATATGTAGAGCGAGAGAGAGAGTGCGATTGTGTTTTCTCACAGAACATTCGGAGCCAATTTCGGCACCCAGATCTTCACAGGAAAACCTCATGGGGCTCCGTGAGGTGTGAGCGGGCGTCAAGGGCAGAATTTCCTGCCAGAACTAGAAATTCCAATGATAACTGACGTTTGGATTATTATTTTAAAGGAAAAGAGAAACTGCTATACACTTGAGACGACACGGGTGATCACAGCAGCACTGATGCCGAGGCGCTGGAAATTCAAGTACAGAAATGGGCTTCAGCAGTTGGCAAAGTGGGGACACCGAGCAGCAGCAGCACCTGGGAGCTGGTTAGAAATACACATTCTCGGGCCCCCCCAGACTGGAGGGACCAGTAGGAGGTGGGGCGGGCACTCTGGGTTTAACCTGGAGGTTTACTCCTCCAGGGGATTCCGATGCCTGCTCAAGTCGGAGGAACACTGACTTCGTTTTAAAACGACCAGCAGAAACGATCCCTGGCTTCGAACACTTACTGATCTGTTCTTTGTTGATTGCCCCCTCCATGTGCGAGACACCCCCAGCTGCAGTCAGAGCTAACCATGACAGTCATCTTGTTGGCTAGGAGTTCTCAGGGTCCGTGTGCACAGTCAGCCCAGTGCAGAGCTCTAAACCGCCGTGGGAAGAGAGCCGAGCGAAGAGTGCTTTTCACAGGCATCAGTCCAGGGAGCACTAGTGGCATCTGGGCCAGATGGTTCTTTCTTTCGATGAGGGCTGTCCTGTGCACTGAAGGGTGTTAAACAGCATCCCTGGCCTCTACCCACAGGATGCCGGCAGTAGCATCCCCTCTCTCTCCACTTACAACACCCCAAATCTCTGGGGGGGGGGCAATCATCCTGGTTGAGACCTGCTGGGTCAAGTGGAGTGTGCTAGCTTGGAACCATAAACTACATCAGAGAGTTAAGCCTTGGGACTCTACAAAGACCAAAAGTCAATGTCTCCACGGCCCATACCCCACCTCCCACCCTAGCCCATAAAGGAATAACCTGAGCAGAGAATCCTTAGTACCAGGCTACCTGGACTGAGCCAATCTCTTCCTCCGCCCAAGTTTCTGAGGCCCTGGAATTTAGGACGAGCCCTTGAGCCCAAAGAATGGCTACACTGCACTATAGCCCTCACATTGCCATGAGCCTTTGATGGCTGCAGGGCTGGTTTCCTGGTGCGTGATAACACAAGGTGAAAGCAATATTGCTATGGCAGGGACGATGCCGTGGGCCACCCAATCTCCCAGCTCTGCCATGATGTTTGAAAATATGAAGTTGTTTGGAATGGACTGACCTATAGGGTGAACTTCACATTCACTTATGGGTGATTTCATCCACAAGAAAGTCCAGGAAAACGCAGCACACTACACCCGGGCAGGAACACCCCGGGGCAGGGGGATACCCAACCACTCCCACAAGCCAACCACAGGGCTCTCTCAAGGTGCAGTGACATCTTTATTGTCATGGGGATATATTTCTCAGCCATAACACGAGTAAAATGTCCTACGGTGTTTTGCTAGGTTCCTGTCTCTTTTTTGAAATGTGTCACTGATGAAGCAGTTGAGTGCTGTGCGCCAAACCCTATTTTTCTCATCAGCCCTGAGATTCTCATGGCTCATTTCTGCAGAGCGCTGTGATTTGGAGGGACGCGTGTGTCACATTCCAGCAGGACCGGCTGAACCTTCTCTGGCACCAGGACCATAATGGGCAGGAGGGGACATGGAAAAGAGCTCCAGCCCCTCCCCGTTTGCTCCTCCTCTTTTGACTCAACCTTCAGCTTCAGGGCAGAGCCAGCAGCCCCACCTGGAACCTGAGTCCCAAGCTCGCTGGCATCCCCTCCTCCTGGGCCCGCCACAGCCTACTGACATCTCTTTCGAGCCCTGCACCCTGACCCCAGTCTCCGCCAGTCCCTCAAGGGCTGAGCCCACATCCCCTTCATCATACCTCCCTCCCGGGTCCAGCCACTCACCCGCTCCGTGTCACCAGGCACTGGCGGAGCCCCAGCTTCCGGAAGATGTCCACCACCGTCTCCATGGGGGTGTGGTCCGTGACCGTGAAAGGGCTGAGGTTCAGGACGCGCCGCAGCTTCAGGGGCTGCGGGCTGTTGGCCGGCAGCTCGGGGGGCTCCTCCGTGAAGTACATGACCGAGTCGCTCACGATGCCCTCCTGCCTCTGTCTGGCGTTCTCTGGAATGGGTGAGCAGGACAACAAGGCACGTGAGTCTCCCCTGTGGAGTCACTCTCCGACCCCAACCCCACAGCGACACACAACTTCCCCAGAATTCCAAGGAGAAGGGTTTAAGAGGGCAAACTCCATGTTCCTAATGAGGGGCTTCAGCCAAACATCTGTGAAATTGGCATCTCTCTCTCTCTTAAGCTAATGCTATGCGAGGCACCCCCTGCTGTGCCACGATCACTCACTGCCAAAGTCTTACACGATGGGTCTGGCCAGGCTGGCTCCTGGAGGGGAAAGCACTGCTTCTGCCCAGAATCCGGAGCACCCAGCTGGCCCAGGACCCTCTCCCGTGCTGTCCTGACACACCTTCACCTCATCGGGGCTGAAGTTTGACATGAAAGGAAGCCTCACTTAGCTGCCCCATGAGCTTAATGCATTGTGGGGTGTTTTTTTTTTTAACAAACGAACATATAACTGGCCCAAATGGCATTATAAATCCTGAAAGGAACAAGAAACCAATAGGACCATGCCAGGCTCACAGCCCAGAAATACAGCTCAATCCCAAATGAGACCCTTGGGACCAAAGAAATAGCCCTAGAAAAGCTGCATCCCCACCCTTGGAAGTCCTCTCTTAAAAATAGGCCATTCTGTGGATTTCTCAAGGCAAGATAGTAAAACTGTTATGGTAACAATTAGCCTGTTTCTATCTGTAGGCAAGCCCGTGTGAAAGCAAGCTGCAGAAAAGGAGGGTAACAGGAACTCATTAGAAATACAGCTTTATGCAGTACTCGAAACCCAGGCTATTTTAAGTCACACATGAAATAAATCCATCGGTCTCAAGATATTTCTCCAAGGCGATTTTCCTTCTGTTGGAATTTTAATCTTTCTTTTGGTTCATGGGAAAAGGTTAGGAAAAATGTACAGCAAGGCTTGCTTTAAAATGGATCCTGGTTTCTATAATACATTTTTTTTTTGCCTTCTCAAAGACTACCATTCACCTATATTGTTCTTTGAAAAATAAAATTCTAACTGCTGGCTCTAAGGCCATTTATTGCAATATAGTACTCTAATGGAAAACTGGCAGTGTTCGGGGTCAGACTGAGTTTGAAAAGGGGTCTCTGTTTAAAAGGGGAACAGAGGGCCTGCTGGGCAAATGCCTGCACAGTTATGTGGGTCAGGTTCAATCGAGTTACATCAAATGGAGTATGATTCAACCACAAATACCAGATGACAGTGATGCACAGCCTGTTTTCAAATGTAGATGCGCACTTGTCTCCTAAATCAAGATGGCTCTGTCCTGAAGCACTAAGGTGGCAACAGTCAGCACGTACTTAGTGCTCATCTTCATAGACCAATTGATTCTCTAAAAGTCACATGTAATGTGAAACCCATCTATTTCAACAATCCAGCTGAACATCAGGATTGGATCAAGCCACAAACTCCCATCAAGAACCGATCACACAGATTTGCTGAACCCCTCAAAAAACCAAACAGAGCTTAGCAAACTGTCAGTTCATGTGTTGAAATAAGTAACAAGCTTCTATTTCTTCTGAATCTACTGATTGGGTTAGAAGCTGTGAATAACAGCACCTAGCTCCATCAATTCTTGTCCCTGGTGCATTCCCAGTGCCTGGACAACACCTAGAATTCAGTCAACACAAAAGAGATATTTGCCAAATACACACGCGTCAATCAATCAACAAGAGAATAGGTCTACTGAGCGTCAGCGTACTTGGCTCTGCCTGCCATGTAGAACAGAGCCTATTTCACGGAGGAGGCATTAGGAAGGAAAGTCTTGGGCTGTCCGCTGCCGAATAAGAATCGAAAGCATCAGCTGGGGTCAGAGCCGGAGACAGAGTTGCATTTCTTGCTAGTCCAAGAGCGGGAGTGCGGCTCTCTCCACATGGGCTCAGCCACGCCACTTTGGAGCTGTATTCCAAGGACCTATCTTAAAGCCTTGAACTTTGGGGGTACAGGCCAAAAGCTGATGAATGGAAGAAACAGCAAGACAGTTCTTCTCAACCAGGTGAACTGTCTTCTCCCAGTTTGAACAAGAAATCGTCAGTCACCAAAATGCCTGCAACAGACTATACAGCGTGTAAGTTCACAGACGGCAGAGCCTGGCTTCTGTCATCCCTGCGCTCCCAGCTCCCAGGACAGTGCCTGCACACGGTGGGTGCTCAGTGAGAGAAGCAGTTCCTGTGTAAAAGGATCAAGCAAACCGCACAGATTCCCAGACCCCAGGGACTCATAGGAGCCTGTGTTAGAAAAGAAGCCCCCCCAAAAAACAAAACAAAACAGAAAGAAAGGAAGAAAGAAGCTAGCCCAACGATTACATGTGTAAAAGGCCTAAAAGACAAGAAGGAAATGTACTCAATATTAACCATGGCCTTCTTCAGTGTTGAGAATGCAGGTACCTTTTTTATTTTCCCTTTTGCTTCTCATTTCCCCCAACATTCTATAAGTATGTAGTACTTTCACTTTTAAAAAGCTAAAAACTTCATTTTTGTTGTAAGATCATGTGGTTAAATTGTTTTTACAATCATTTTTAGTATAGGAGGTTTGTTGTTGTATTCTACCAGGACTATTATCAGTGGCTACAGCTCCTGAAGAAGAATGACCATTTTAGGATCACCTGCGAGGGTCATTCAACTTGACATTCCACTTTCTCACAGTACTACGATCACAATGCCAGGTGCAAAGAGGGTAATTAGGAAAGTGTTGATCAAGTCAATTTCACAAACTATGATAGGCCAAGAAATTTTAAAAGACTGGAAATAATCACATATCCAGTAAGTTATTATAACAGCTTGAGAGCAATGGTTCTCAACTGGGAGTAATCCATCCCCATCCTCAGGGGACGTAAGGCAGTATCTGGAGATATTTTTGGTTGTCATAACTGGGGGACGGGGTTGCTACAGGCACCTAGTGGGTAGAGAGCAGGGGTGATCCTACAATGCACAGGATAGCCCCTCTCAACAAAGAATGATCTGGCCCCAAGGTCAATACTGTTCAAGTTGAGAAATTCTATGTTTTTAGGGAGATAATGATCTATCATCCTGTTCATTTAAAACGTTTCCATAAAACAGATGTAAATTGACAAGAAAGGTTAAAATGGACAATTGGAAGCAACTATAGTGGTGGTTAGTACACAGGTGATATGATAAAAAAAATCTACTTAGAAGAAAAAGCAGATTATTTTATCAAGTTATAGTTTACTGAGGCATGGACAAGTCATGTACGTTTTCATCAGCAGCAGAAATATGCAGATGACAGCACTGTTCCCCAGGGCCTGTCCCAGTAATCAGCGGCTCTCCCAGGAAGAAACCTCTTTATCCCTAAAGAGCCCATCCAACAATCTGACACGTATCTTCTTGTTCAGTCCTCGATGGAGACCCCTTCTGCAAGTAAGCATCTTCCACATGCTGGAGAATTACCATTAAATTATCCACCATACCAAAAAAATGAGAGTTCCCTTGACTGTCGTCTGTAACTCTAACTTTCCATCCCTTTAATCATCTTTGCGGCTTCCCTCTGAGTCCTCTCTGAATCCATCCTCACTTAACTGTGGAACTCAAGACTAGAGGAGCCTACGCCTGCATAGCACAGAAAGGGCCTCCTATTTGCAAAGAGCCCCAAGAGGTAAAGTTCCATCTACGAGGAATTTGAACAAAGACCACATCTGGCCCCATGTGTTAGTATGTGATGGTGAAGAGGGCCATGTTTCCTAGGTGGTGCTAACTAATTGCTTTCAAACAAAGACAGTGGCTATGGTTTGGCATTCCAGAGAGGGACAGGAAAATAACAAAACATTTCAGCTTCATGTGAGCAACTGATACCTTTTTAAACATGATGTGTAAGAGAAAATCTTCATTTGCTTTACTGACTGTTCTTTTCTTATCTTGGGTCTATCGCCAATCTTTACGCCTGAGTCCCCAGAAAGTGAAATTGACAAGGGATGGTTACCAGCTAAAAGCTCAGGTCATATTTCTATATTCACGCAGGGGCATATAATTCCGCACATACAGGTCATGGATTCCTCCACCAGAGTACAGGACAGAGCAGGAAAACAGCTTTTCTGACTGCTCATGGCAAAACACTCCTTGCCTTTCCAGAAACCATGTAAATAGCAGCTTCTATACTATTATCAGTCTGATTGAAAGCATATAGGTATTATTTACACCGCGTGTTGCCTCTTCAGACATTCCAAACATAGCTTCTAGGAGAGCGCTCGGTTGGCAAGCTTAAATTTCTTCTCCAACCGGTTGATGACAATTACTGCTTCCCACTTGATTACAGTAATGGCTTTCAGGAAAATTAGTGAGCTGTCTCTTAGCAGGTGTCCCTGGAGCTACACAATAGGTAATAGATTCTGTGACATTTATTACTTGAGTTTTTAAATTTCAACCTTTGCTTAAAAGATTTTAGGGATTGAATAAATTTTTTAAAGGCTGCTGATTACATTAATTTAAAACAAACTCAACCATACTATAGAGCATTTTTTTAAAAAAACTCATTATTTATAAGGCAATAGTTATGCCTCAAGGCACCTACCTGTTAAGCGATAGGACCTATAATAAAGAGATGTTTTCATGTCTAAAATATAAAATCAACTGTTGCTTTGAGGGAGGTAAATATGTTTGGGCAACAAGCTAAAATTAGAGGCTATGGCTTATTTAAGCTTATTTTTATAAAGCCTTTGAAGAAGATGGGATACACCATACAATCACCAAGGGCACGCTGGAGCCATGTCGTGGGCCCCAGCCTACTGTGAGATGCAAGGATGCCGTGCTGGAGGGCATTCATGTTTTGCCGTGTGCCGCCGCGGATGTGCTCTGCTGCTCCTCGTCCCTGCTGCATCAGGTCCTCCAAGCAGGACCACTTGGAGGGAGCCCTCTGAGGCTCATTGCTCCTTCCTCCTCCAAAGACTCACACCCAGGCCTCTGCCTCTGCAATCCTTCTACCTCCTGCTCCCCTTCCAAGGCGGACATCCCTAGGCTTGCTTCTCGGAGCCGCCTGTCTCTGGGACACCCCACCTGGGCATCACCCCCTCTCACCTCTGCCAACTCAACAGCCTGCCCCTCAGCCCATCTGATTCACTTAGCACACGATGAGGAAAAGCATCCCACGGAACCGACTTGACCCACATGGGCCCCTAAGTGATGGAAGCAGACATAAAATCATGAAGTGAAGCAAAGGGCTTGAGCAGTGCCGCAGGAGGTGTCTGCTGCAAAAAGCTCAGCATCTCAGTCAGTTAACTTGCCTGGAAGCCTGTCTCTGTGACCAGCTGGCCTGGCCGGCCCAGCCTCTCCCATCTCTTCCTTCTCAGCTTCACCCAAGTCCCTAAAAGGCGGCAGTGACAGCTCACCTCCCAGCAGGAAGGACCCAGGTGGCTGCTTGCAAACCTGGTGGTCGTTTTCCAGCCAAGAATGCCTCTCCCAAGACACTGCTCCCCACAGTGTGACTCAGGTCCAGTAGCAACGGCATTAATGGGAAGCTTGGGAGAAACACGGAGTGTCAGGTACCCCAACCCCAGATCTGCCGACTCAGATTCTGCATCTTAGCCGCATCCCAGGTGATACAAAAGGGCATTAAAGCATGAGAGCCCCTGGCTTAAAGCCCTCCTACCCATGTCCACTCTCTCTAACCATTTTGAGAATCTGGGGACACAGAGGCTGAGTGAAACAAGGCTTCCCTCGCCTTACTCACTTATTGCAAGAATCAGCTCCCTCCTCTGGGCAAACCCGATGAGGCGCTCTGAGTCCCTGGAGACGACCACAGGGAAGCCATTGTAGTCGGTCTCCTTAATGAGCGTCTCCACGTCCTCGACGGTCATGCTGTCCTGGGTGAGGACGGACAGCGGCGGCTCCCCCCGCCGTGGTCGCATGACATCGGTGGCCAGTGTGCGGTGAGTGAACTCGTCCTTCACATCCAGAAACGGGTACCCATTCAAGTGGATGTGGGCCTCGTAGATGCCTTCCTTCCCAAAGGCATCGGCCACCCACTTGCTGGTTACGGCTGCTGCCATCAGGGGCACGATGTACTCGAGACCGCCCGTCAATTCAAACATGATGACCACCAAGGACACCGTCATCCTGGTAACTCCACCTGCAACCCAAGAGAGGAACGAAATTCCAGGGCTTCACTCCACATCCTCGAGGGGACATCAATTGTGGAAACTGACAAGCTGGCGGTATTCTCCTGGCGCCTGTCCTAAGGAGAGGGTCCTGCAAGGCACCCGAACTCAGACCTCTGGGACCGAGGCCAGGCTCAGTTAAACACAGCCTTGCATCACGAGCCATAAGGCACATCTGCCTGGGGGGCTCTTCTCCAGTGATGGACACTGAGTTGTCCATTCACCCTCAGGACCACACACCTTGCTTTTTAGTGAGTGGATCCCAAGTGGGCCCTGCAGGTTTCTGACTCAGCAATGTGGCTCTCTTCCAGAATCCCAGAAGCTGGAAAAGTGTCAAGATTTTTAGGGGCTACAGACAAGAGGGTGCCCACCACCCTTGTGTCCCTTGGTATTCAAAGGAAGATCTTCCAGTGAGCTTAAACCAGGGTTTCCGGACCTCAGCATGAGAAACATCTAGAGCTGGATTATTCTTTGTAGGGGAAGGGGTGTCTTTGCACTACAGGATGCTGAGTAGCACCCCTGACCCCCACCTACTAGACATCAGTAGCACCCACCAGGTATGTCAACCAAAAATGTCTCCTCCACTGCCCGGTGCCCCTCATAGGCACAACTGCCCCCAGTTGAAAACCACTATTCTAGATGGTACAGCTGCAAGATGCTGGAGACCCCATCAGCCTGGGTCCCTGGATGACTGAGTGGAGATAAGCCCACTGCTACTCACATTACACACACACACACAGAGTTGATTCTCATTATTATGGTAGTTATGCTCTATAAAGTTAACACAAACACTGAATTAGCAAATACTGAATCACAGCCCCAGGGGAGATATCAAGTTAGGTTTCTGAGAACCTCTGGTCACACCATTTTTGTCAACCAATCAATATAAAAACTTATTTGATGTGTGTTTCTGTTTAAAGACACCTTATTTATTTAATACATGTAGCTGGTTCATTAACACTGAACTCACAGCCAACAGCACTGTAACTCATGCCTGAATGAAGCTTCTCTAACTCATGTATTTTCTCCAAAAGGCTCATCTCAGATGTCTTGCGTTTAAGAACACAAGACAGTACTGCCGCACTGCACTTGGGGCCACTGTAAATAGCAAAATCTTTAAAAAAAAAAAAAAGCACACACATACCCCCCCAAAAAAACCTTGGCACTAAAAAGACCAGGAAAAGGACACCTGTGTACAGGAGAAGAGCTGAAACAAGAAGGTGGACCTTCGCCTTGATTGGCCTTAGCTGGGAACATGCATATCAGACAACTCAAAAGTTTCCACCACTCCGCATGTGTCCCAGAATGACTAGGAAGCACCTCGAGTACTGATTCAGGGGTGGCAGCCAAATTTCAGCAAGGAGGCAAGTTCCCAAAAATGGAATTCACGAATAAGGAGAATCAACCACCTATCCTGAGCCATACCCGAGCCTCGGGGTACTAAGCCACTGAGATTTAGGGGTCTACTTGTTACAGCAGCACAACCTTGCCTATCGTGACATGCGAACACTGGAGTCCAAGTCATCCTTCTGGCCAGTCCTGGACACCAGATTGGTCTTTGTGTCGGTGTACCTCATCTTTCCCTGCACCCTCGCCCACCCCACCTATGGCCGCATACCTAGGCAGGCAGCAGCTCCCACCATGGCATAAAGCCCTGGGGTGACGCAGTCTGCTCCGGGCCTGCACCAGTTCCTGAAGATGATCCAGTCGTGGTGATGGTAAGCCAGCTGCTCCACGCCGATTCCCACCATCCTGCCCGCCATGGCGCCCACGGCCATGCTGGGAATAAAGAGGCCGGACGGAATCTGCAGGGAACATGGGGGAGAGAAGCGTGAGGGAGGGGGTCCCCATTCCTGCCGCCCCCAGGGAACACAGCCCCCCTCGACAAGCTTGCATTTGGCTTCAGTCTTCCAAGGAGGCGCAACGCTTCAAAATAGCTCAGCCGGGAAACCGTGGAACAAGTGATTTCACCTGCTTGGTCGTAGCTACTATGACTCGGGGAGGATGTAATTTTACACTTTGATTTCCTCGCCTTCAGAAGCCGGCCTGGTTGGCCTGCTGTGGATTAAAGAAGGATAAACCCCACTGCAAATCACATTCAAGGTGCACATCTGTCACTTGAGATACTCACCGCTTTCTCTCTTCCCTTGCACGTCATTCAGATGAGCTTTGAAAATTAAATGTCAAGCCACAGCATGAAAAGGGAAAAGCAGGGCCTTCAACCGTTCACAGGTCAAAGAAAAGAAGCTAAAAGCATCCATATAGCTGCCCTGCATCTTCCAAAAAGCTTTTCACAGGCTCACCGCCCTCTTGAATCGACAGTGGCCAGGCATCTGTCAGAGAGAGATGCCAGAGGAGGGGGGAATCTCTCTTCCTGACAAAGTCCATTCTCTGCAAAGTATATGGAGTATCTTCAAGTTACATTAGATGCAGTAAATAAACAGACTGTGTAAACCAAAAGGTCTTGGTCATCTCCTGTTTTATATTTTGCTGTGTGAAAATACATTTTAGTTTCTCCAGTGATCAGACAAGCACTACAGAACACGCCTGAGTCTCCTTGTTCCTAGAGAAGGCATGGGACTGCCCATCCTGACTGGGGGCTGCATTCATGCCCCTCCTGCCAGACTGTCATCAATTTGAGGATGGAAGTGGACCTTTAACCAAATTCAAGTTAAGTTTGGGTCCTTGGGTGTGATTTCTAGAGTCCGGGACATTCCTGAGGAAATTGTTCCTTTCTGAGCACCCCCCACCCCCCGTGTCATTTAATGCCCTATAACTTCAAAGCAGCCTTCCCCCGGCAGGCACCAGAGGATGCAGCCAGTGTCTTCCTCAGAAACGAAAATAAATCCCTCTGCTAGGAGATGATGGATCAGAGACAGTTGGCTGTTTCATAAAGTCCACCCACCCTCATTCTTCAGGCAGATTGCAGGCTTGTGTTTGACCATGGCACGCAAGTACACAGCTCCCCAGACTTTTTTTAAAGAAACAATTCATAAAAATCCCCCACAAAAAGCAACAGTAAGGAACACAGCGCGGTTCTGGAGGGTCTGCCATGTTCTGGTCCTGGTCCTCGGTGCTGGTTCCACAAGCATGTGTGTTTTATGAAAATTCATCATGCTGTCCACATCCCTATATGAATGATATACTCTGAGCCTTAGCTTCTTCACTTGTAAAGTGGGGTCAAAAATCTCTATTCCATAGGTTTGCTGTTTATCAAAAGCTTTCTTTCTTGCTGGTTAAAAGAATGTCAAGGGTCGCTCAGGAGAACATACAGTAAAGGTCAGTTCCCCTTTTCCTCCCATCACAATCTTACTTTGGCGAGTAGCATGCCATCCCCAGAAGGACGTGGGCTGCCTCACCCCTAACCCCCAGCATCTTCCCTCCCCTTCACTTACCTTCATGCCAAAGGTAAATATGGTAATGATGATCTTGAAGATCAGCGCCAGCGCCAGCTGCCACATGGCTGTGTAAACCCCGACCCCGGCCGGCCGGTCCGGGATGTCGTCCACAGGCCGCGTCATGTTGGGGTCGTTGATGTAGTCACAGAGCTGGGAGGACTCAAGGGCCCCGCAGTCATTGAAGAGCTCGGAGATGAGCTCGCTCGTGCTCCGGCGCGTGTAGGGATTGGGGTAGGCGACAATGGCGGTGATGGCGGTCACTGCAATGACCTCCAGCACCGGGTACTTGCCCAGCTTGGTGGTCTTGCGCCTCCTGCACCAGGCGATGTTGCAACGGATGAAGAGGGTTCCCCACAAGCCCCCGAAGACCCCAAGCAGGATGAAGGGGAAGAGCTCGGCCATGTACCAGGGCGTGTGATATTCCACATAGAAGAGAACGAGGCGGCTGTTCCCAAAGGGATTGATGGATCGCAGCGTGAAGGCTGCCACCAGGGCCGCAAAAAAGGACCGCCACAAGGTCTTCAAAGGAAAGTAGTAACTGACCTGCGACAGACGAACAGGTGGAAAGTCAGAGATTGACAGAGAGAGCTGTCCAGAGCCCCAACCCCAATGATCAGTGGCCACCCGCTGGCATTTGCCACGGAGGTTACACTCAAGACCCAAGATGGGCGGTACTCACTTCGTCAATCTAGGCTTAATTATGGCCAAAATGCACTAGCAAAGATATTGAAATTGGAATGTGGGGAGGGAATAGCTCAGCGGTAGAGTGCGTGCTTAGCATGCACAAGGTCCTGGGTTCAATCCTCAGTACCGCCATTAAAAAATAAATTCAGTTAAACTTTAAAAGATAAAATAAAAATTTTTTTAAATAAAATTGGAATGGATACTAGTCAAGGTGCATTTTAGCTATTTCTTTAAAGAGAAATGAAAATACTTCATCATAATTCAGTTTATGGGACAGAGACCCTCGTAAAAGAAAATAAACCTCTGATCTGATTCTGCAGACAACAGAATAGATTATGGGTTGAAAACCCTGGCCCAGCCAACATATCTGGATGGCACATGAGTTAAGAAGGGTTTTGACATTTTTAAAAGGCTGGTGGGAAAAAAGAATATTTTGTGACATATGAAATATGAAGGTCTTGTTGGAAGGCAGCCATGCCTGGCTTGTGGACGCTGAAGTTTGAATTTTATCTACTTGTCACATGTCACCAAATATTGTCCTTCTTTTGAATATTTCACATCCATTTGGGTTGTGAAAAGCAAAAATGCTTCAGTATATTGTTCATGAAAAAGAGAGAGGAGACTGTAAATCTTCCTCCAAAATCGCACTGGCAATTTTTAAAACAATACTTGAAAACACATATGTTTGGGTGAAAATTGTGGCTCCTTAAGAAGCCGCAGGCATCTCGTTCAATACTCCTTCAGATCTAGTCCTCAAAAGGCTGGGGATGGAAGCCTCGTGCGGTACCCACCATCCCAGTGTCCCTCGGGCCTCAGGACCACGGATCAACCCCCTCCGCTGCCCACACTCACCTCTTCCAGACTGAAAAGCACACCGCCGATCGGAGCACCAAAGGCGACGGAGACCCCGGCTGCGGCCGCAGCTGACAGCACCTGCGGGGCATAGAGCTCCGGGTCAGCCCGAGGCCTTGCGGGTGAAGCCCTGGGCGCGGCGGGACTGGAGGCTGGAGGCTGGAGGGGGTCACCGCCCACGGCAGCTGCACCCACTCACCTCGCGCCGCTTGCCCTCATTCTTGCTGTACTTAGAGAAAAGGCTGCTGAAGAAGTTGCCACAGCAACAAGCCACGTGCACCAGTGGCCCTTCTTTGCCGAGGCTCAGGCCCGAGGATACCACCAGCACCAGGGTGACGGTCTTGATCAGCAGGGTCCACTTCCCCAAGTAGCCTCTGATGATGAAGCCGCTCAGAATGGTCTTTATCTGAAACAGAGGACGGAGGATGATGCAGAGTGAGCCGCAATTCAGTAAATCCCATTTTTGTTGTTCATTTCACTATAATTTTATATTAACCCAAAATATATGATATTCATGGAAGCCTGAAACAATCCAATGCACACTAAATCTTAATAATTCCGAAAGTAATGAGAGATCACAACAAGGCCTGAATAAATAAGTACCAGAATCTCATTTTATGTATGGTGTTTTATCCCGTTCACGTTACCCTCTGTTGTGTTGAAAAGACACGTGTCTCTATTGATTCTAACTGTTAATTTTTGACTAGTGAAAGATGTCCAAGATAAAGAGACATCTGGCAAGCTAAATGACAAAGCAAACAAAACAAAATGTCAACTGAACTTTAGATCTGGGGTCATCAAACTAGCGTCCAGCCCACCACCTATTTCCGTAAGACCCACAAGCTAAGAGTGCTTTGAACATTTTTAAATGTAATATGTAAACAAGACTACTAGCCTTCTAGAGACAATAGTTTCTCAGTCTTGCCTCTTGACTCACAAAGCCTAAAATATTCTCTGCCCTTTATCAGGAAGGTTTGCCAAGCCCTGCTGCAGGCCACGGGGAGATAGGTGTTTACTGTCCAATTCTTTCAACTTTTCTATACCTTTGAAAATATCCTTAATATTGGAAAAAGAAGATGCTTGGCATTCTAATGACGCCCTTCTAGGGGATGTAAAGGTGTCTGAATCCATGGTGACATGTTCCCTTCTGCTGACTCCTGCCCTCTGGCAGCGAAAAGGACTTTGACTACAGGTACAGCTGACTCGAGCTGCGCTTTCAGGCCTGCCGCGTTTTGTAAATGCCAAATAATGGCTTTCTTCCTAAAGGTGCACGTGAGTTTGCGTGACGCTTTTAGAATTCAACTGGGTGCCGATCACAGTAATTAATTTCCTATATTGGAGTCAGTCCTCTGGATATAGATGCATCACCAATGGGTGAATAATAATCTTACCTTCAACCTCTCCCACAAATGGCTGAAATGGAGTGAATGTTTCCTGCAGAGCTAGCAATTGACAAGCCTGTCATCAAAGATTCATTAGACACCGAGTGAGTCAGCCCATGAAATCGTGGTCAGTACCTGTTTTCCCATTGTATAATACATAATGGAACAATCTCAGCTCTTGTCACCATTGGGACGTTTACATAACTTCAAAGTGCCTCTTAGTGGGCATTGCTCTGCCAAGAAATCCGTTTCTCAAATAGCTATTATAGTCCTTCTCAACCTTCTCAATGCACTCAGTGGCATCACCTAGGGAATCAGAAACCAGGGAGGACTGGCTCTACCCCGCCCCCGAGATGTGGTGTAATTGGTCTGATGTGCATCCTGGGTGTGGGAGGTTCACAGCCTCCTGAGGTGATTCTCAAGTGCAGTCCAGGTTGAGACCACTGCTCCAGTCCCGAGAAGGGCAGTACAGGTATTCCTAACTTCTCAGTAGTTAAGGTGCAGTCCTGCAACACTCTTCGGCATTTTGACATTATGTCACACGTGTGATGATTTGGAGAGGGTGGCGAAGTGAACTCATCCTGGAAATTGTAAAGGGATGAGAATGGACCATTTTCATGTCAGGAATTATTGCCAGAGATCTGTTTCTTAATTCAGGGAGCAAGACTGACTGTGACTGAGCGTGCAGACATCCATTTCCAAAGAACTCACTAAGCTCCACCCGATAGAACACGAGTGAGGTCTTCCAGCTCTGCAATCAGATGGTATTTCTTGAACTCGCCTTTAACTGAAGGCAGACAAACTAGCAGTGGTTAAACTGGTCTTTCACTAGTGGTAGTTGGCCTATTTGAGCCTGGGCTCTGGGGATCTCCGACCCTTTATTTAAGGGATGTTTTATTATGCCTGCCACAATCCTACCCTTTTGTGTTGCCTAGAATAAAATTATCTATAATTTTTTGTCAGTTAGTTAATGTGGATTTGGACCCTAGGGTACAGTTTAAGAGCGTAATACCATTTAGAAAATTACAAGCATCTGAATTACCTGAGCCTTTGCCAGCCGTGACATGTGGTGAATTGAACAATGTAATAGGTATCTCATAATTCTCTAAAATGACTTTATAAAATTGTCATGATCAAATTAGGGACTAAAGAAAGCAAATTCATTCCCAGTAGATGCCAAAATCCAATCGCTTGCTTTAATTTGAATTAATTGAGACTGAATCACGCAGGGCTTTAAGGAGAGGTACTGCAGCAGATCAGTGACTTGGTGCTGGTGACTTTAAAACCTTTCTGGCAAATAAATACCTGTGAGGGAGTTCACGTTTTGTAGTGGGCCAAAACAGCAACCCAAAGTAAGTCCTCATAGGACATGATTTCTTATAGAGCACATAGTGGTTTCGGTGATGAAGCAGACAGGAGGAGACAGAGGGCTATCCTTGCCAAGTTCTCTCTAAATTCTCAAGCCCAAGAACCAGTGTTCACTCTTCAATGCGCTTTACAGAACTGGTACAAGAGCATTTAATACATAGAAAAAAAAAACATTCTCTAAATTTGTATTTTTAAAAATGTTTCCAAAGGACTTTTCAGTCTAAGTAACCCAAATGTTTCAGAAGCTTTGCTTTGTTACAGAGGATGCACCAGTTTTAAACTGTGCGGAAGTGCACACTGCCCTCAAAGTGTGTTCCCATGCTGCACACCCCGTGCCAGCTTACAGCGGCTCACCTCAAACGATGGGAAGTGTATTTCCTAAACAGCTCATTTAGAATCTTTGCTGAAATGAAGGCAAATGGCTCCCAAGCCCAAATTGAGAGGAGCTGGTTTGCATGGTTAGTTGCATTTTGACTGGAAGGAGGTTCTTTTTATCCACGAACTACTTACTGCCGTTTACTTTTCACTCAGCCCCTTTCCTCCAAGAACTGTATTGCACCCTTAGGTTAGGAATTTCAAGCTCTACTATGGTAACAGTGAAAGTCTTGCTAAGACTGAGTTACAATAACCAAAACTTACTTATGAGATCTCCACTGGGTTCCTAATACTTGCAAAGACTACTGTGAACTCTTTTGTAAACAGAGAAACGGATCTGTTACATATTATGTATGACTGAAAGCACGGGAATAAAACAAGCACCTTGGTACTCACTACCAAGTTTAAGATAGAAGAGCAGGAACCTTTGAAAGCCCTGTGTTTGCTTCCTCAGTGGAACCTCCCTCCTCCCCCGCCCCACCATTTCCTTGCCTTTCTTCATAGCTTTAGCACAGACATGTATCACTAAACAGTATGCTTGCTTCATTTTGGCTGTTTTATGGACTTTACATGATAGACTCGTACTTTATATATTCTTCTGCAACTTACACTTTTTTTTAGTTGAAGTATAGTCAGTGTGCAATGTTGTGTCAGTTTCTGGTGTACAGCATCATGTTTCAGTCATACACGTACATACATATATTCTTTTTCACATTCTTCCTCATTATAGGTTACTACAAGATACTGAATACAGTTCCCCATCTACACAATAGAAACTTGTTGATCTATATTATATATAGTAGTATCTTTTGACCTAATATCACTTTTTTGAGTTTCATCCACATCAATGTGTTCCTTGCACTTTGTCACATAAAAAACAACGCTCAACTCAGTATTACTCCTTTTGACTTTTTTTTTTACTTTTTTTAATGGAGGTATAGTTGATTGACAATGTTGTGTTAGTTTCTGGTGTACAGCACAGTGATTCAGTTACACATATATATTCTTTTTCATTATAGGTTATCATAAGATATTAGAGGTAGTTCCCTGTGCTCTACCGTAGGAACTTGTTGTTGATCTGTTTTAGTATTTTACTCCTTTTGAGTTCAGCTGTCACAAATAAAGATGCTTGCTTTGGACAAAGACCAGGTCCAGCCAGCCCCTCACAGCTGGAGCATCAGTCTGCCTACAAGCTGAACCACGCATCTCTGGTTCTTGGAAGAAGATAGGATTACCCAGCACACCTTCTATTGCTGCTTGAAATTTCCCACCAGTTCCCCACTAGCCATCTCCTTATTTTGAGAGGCAGTTTGAGTCCAAAAGCACCTACTCCTGGGCAGGGGGTATCAGAAACTGAGATGCCAACAAGAATCTGTTCTTTTAATTGTGCAGGGTGCCTTCCATCTTAGGTATCAAATAAAATGCAGTCAGTTCTGCCGTTAACACTTGTTTTGCAAACACCAACTTGTTCCAATGTGATTCGTGCATCTGGGAAGAACTTGAGCAGAACGCAAATTTTGCGTTTGTTTATGCACAATTTCACGGGGGAGAAACACAAGGCAGAAAACCACCAGCCGGGCAGGGATGTGCAAAGCGCACACAGGCACACGCCTCGCACAGCTACCGCTTCACGCATGCGGGGGTATTTAGACATTTCTTAACCATTCCACATGGGTAAAACTGCACGACTGATTTTAAGAAGTTTCCGGCTTTTTTATGTGTCACCAACGAAGTTTCTGAGTGTTGTGCCCCGAACCCGATTTTCCCTACAAGCTCTGTGGGTTTTCTAGGCAGTTCTGCATGGCACTGTGATTTTTAGGAATGTGTGTCACATTATCTCGGAACTGGCTGTCTTGAGGAAACAGGATGGTGCTGCAGTTTGGTTTTTAGGCTTTCATGGCAACACGTTAATATAAACCATCCAAAATGCAGCACAAAATAGTAAGTTTTTTTTTCATCTGAAGCAAGATAATGTTGAGCTTTCCTTTCGATGATCCTTTAATTACCCCGGCCCTTTGCGTGAACTGCCCAGACCAGCGGCAGCACCACCAAAGAGCCTGAGTCCGCTACCAGAATCGCTCACATCTTTAAACTCAGCATCTTCACCGTCTATGGACGTGGCTAAAGCACCAACTTGAAGGAGAACTGAACTGTGTTGATTATACTGATCACGTAATAACTTTAAAAATTATTTCTGGCTAAAAGTTTTACTGTCTGGCCTTTTCAGACACTGGTTCAATTATCGTTTTTCTACCCAGCAGATCCTCCTTGGTTTGAAGTTTGGTCTCAGGCGTCCCTCTTGATCAATGAGGTCATTTCCTTCATACTTTGGTTAAAAGAAAGTGCTAAAAAATATTTATAAGAACCCTAAACTCACAGGGGTGCATTTACAGCGCATACACTGAACGTGGAATTCGTTGCTGTTTTTTTTAAAGATTGCTATTACCCTGTTACCAGAAGAGCAAAATGTGGCGATGGAGTTCACTCCTCAGAGAATTTACTCATTAGTCAACTTTCTGAGCCACAAACCTCCACTGATGTCCTTTTTACCTTCTATCAGAGACACACTTAGAGCAACTCGTTCCACATTTGTGTGTGTGGTTAATGAACTCTGATTCCGCAAGGTTTCAGAGCTATACCTGGTTTGCAAAGACAATAATTTAATCATCTGAGAAGCAACGGAGCATAAATCCTGAAGCCAGATGGCTGGGTTCCACTTCTAGCTGACAGCTTTGTGACCTTGGGCAAGTTACTTAACCTCTCTGTGCATCAGTTTCCCCAGCTATCAAATAAAGAACAGCAGTACCTACCTCACAGGCTAAGCTCACTGTGGGGACTGAATGAGGCAATGATATCAAAGGCTTGGAACCGTGCTTAGCACACAAGCGCTACAGAAGTATCTGCTATTCTCATCACCGGCACAAAAATCCGGCCACCACTCACCTCTGGAATACCGGAGCCACAGGCGTATGGTGCAAATACCCGGACCAGGGAGACGGCCAGAAACGCAAAGAGCAACGCCCACAGGATGTACATTAGGTAATTCAGAATGTACGCACTGGCACCCTGAAGGAGACGCAAAACAAGAAGGAACATGTGAGCTGCGGCAGACCCGAGGCGTGCGCCCCCGGCGGGGGAGCCGGCGCTGTGACGGGATCAGGCAGCTCTCCTCCCGCTCCCCCGGCGGCAAAAAGGCGGGGTTGGTTTTGTCGGCTGTTGCTACTGCTACGGTCCTACACACAGACGCCCAGACACAGCCCCGGGTGCTTCTCCAGGAGCTGTCTACACGCACCTTCTAGAGGTGAGATCCCCACCGTCACGCACACTGCGACAGCCGCGGGGTTTTAATCACCACTTGCGCTCGAGTTCATGCAAGGGGCCTCAGAAAAGTCTGCCTTGGAGACCCCGGAGGTTTGCGTGGTCTCGTCTGCGGTGGATTGGCCTCTCTTGGCTTACCTGAAGCCGCACCGCCAATGAGTGAGTGTGGGAACTGAATTTCGGCATGCTGCTTCTCAGGTGTCCCTGGCCTGGCAGAAGCCGCATCACCTGTGCATGCGCTAGAAATGCAGAATCTCAGGCCCCGCCCCAGACTCGCGGAATCAGAGGCTCGGGGTGGGGGGTGCAAAATACGTTTCAACAAGGCCTCCAGGGGGTTCTGACGCAAGCTGACATTCCAGGGGCACTTTTAAAGGGAAAACTTGATCTCCTTCACAGTAATTCATTGAACCATCTATTCCAAATTATCTGATGTGTGGGGAACACTTTCTGATCCAAAGACACTGTCTGGGGCCTTTGAGGCAGAGGACCTGGTCTGCTGGGTGGAGACCACATTCCTCCAGGCCTCAGCTCCTTGTCACTATCTGGATCCCTCCTGTCAGAAGGAAGCAAGGGCACTTACAAGCCAGGCCATGGACATGGCTACATGCGTGCCTAGAAAATGCAAAAATAAAAAACCTCCCAGGGATCACTGCCTTTATAATCACAGATATTCACACCCAATGTGGTGAGAAATCAGACCGAGGAACACATTTTCATCCAGTTAAAAATGTACTTTTTTGAGACTAAAAATAACATCTCACTCGTACTAACAGTAATTCTTTGAATTAAAGCATAAATCTTAGAAATGCTTGAGAAGATGGGCAACCATATTTCCCCCTCCAAAAAAACACACCGCAAGTAGGAGAGAAGAAATACGATGTGGCGCCCAGCCAAGTTCACTGCATCAATCCAAGCAGAGAATTTATTTTTGGAAGTAATGGAGAACACTAAGAATGTGTGAGATTTCAAGATCCCTGTCTACTTCTGAGATCTGAAGGAATTCATTTCCAACTCCAGTGAGAAAGAGGTTTAGCAAAATGGCAAAGTGCATTCCAAATATCTTCAGCTGTAGTAAGTCGATCCGGCAATAGAGGGGTGAGGGGGGTGGGGAGGAGAAGAATCAATAGATTACACCTATCTTCCAAGAAGAGTTCTAGCTTGAATGGTCCTCACGTTACCCCTAATGTGAATCTTGGCAACCTCGCTTCCCCTCACCCAGGGTTCTGATCTGTCAATGACCCACAGTCATCGTGGTAACCACTGAATTCAGTTAGAAATTAACTCTTTTACATTGTACATATACACCACATCTTCTTTATCCAATCATCTGTTGACGGACACTTAGGCTGTTTCCATGTCTTGGCTATTGTATATAGTGCCGCTATGAACATTGGGGTGCATGTATCTTTTTGAATTAGAGTTTCCTCTGGATTTATGCCCAGGAGTAAATCAACTATACTTCTATTAAAAAAAAAAGAAAAGAAAGAAATGAACCCTTTTCCCGAACTAAGATTGTGTATGGAGATCTGGAGCTCAAAGTACCATGAACGCATGCACCTGCCAGGTCTGCGCTTGCCCGCTACCTCCCCCAGGCCTGGGATGTTCCCATCACGGAAGGCGCAGGAACATCCTCTGTATGTGTTCATGAGATGCATTGGAAGATGATAACTTAATTTACAGTGAGACAGCACTGCACACCTGCCAGGAGGGTTATAATCCAAACCAGGTAACAACTGGTGTCGGTAAGGATGTGGGGAAATTGGAACCCACATCTGCTGCTGGTGGAAGGTAAAATGGTGAGGCCACTTTGGAAGACAGCCCGCCAGCTCCTCAAAAGGTTAAATAGAGAGTCGCCCCATGACCAAGCAATTTCCCTCCTAAGAATCTCCGCCAAAGAAATGAAAACACATGTCCACACAAAAACGTGTACACAAATATTCAGAGCAAAAGCATTCACGATAGCACAAAGGTGGAAGCAATCTATGTTCATCAGCTGATGAACAGGGAAATAAAATGTGCTCTTTCTGTACAGTGGAGTGTTACGTGGCTGTGAAAGGGAATGCAGCACCGATTTCTGCTACAACATGAATGAACTTGGAAAATGTGATGCTAAGTGAATGAAGCCAGACACAAAAGTCCACATATTGCATGATTTCATTATATGAAGTGTTCAGAACAGGCAAATCTATAGAAACAAGAAAGGAGATTAGTGGTTGCCTGTGGCTGGTGGATTTGGGGGGGAATGGTGAGTGACTGCTCATGGGTACAAGGTTTCTTTCTGGGTGATAGAAATGTTCCAAAATTAGATTGTGATGATGGTTGCACAACTCTGTGAAGACTCTAAAAGCCACTTACAGTGTACACTTTTCATGGGCGAACCACATGGAATATGAATTGTATCTCACTAAAGCTATCATTTAAAAATATTGTATCTTTTCTTTTCAATTAGAAGGTATGGGGGGAGTGTACCGCTCAGTGGTAGAGTGAGTGCTTAGCATGCACAGTCCTGGGTTCAATCCCCAGTGCCTCCAATTAAAAAAATTTTAAAATAAATAAACCTAATAACCTTCCCCCCCAAAAAAAATTTTTTATAGAAGGTATAAAATTCAAGCCTAGTTCTTCAACCTGATCAAGAGACCACTCTCAGGAAGAAAAATAAAGCCAAGCACAAGGCTTTAAGAAAAATACATATATTGTGCCCATGAAAGAGTGGGGAAAGGTTTTCCAACCGAAGTCTGAACACCAGAGCTAGAAAAAGCCAAGCGGCAAGGGGTACTAGTATTCACCACGGATGGTGTCAGAACAGACGCGTGCAGGTGAGAACACGACCTTGGCCAACGCCCGCGGGCTTCCCGGCCGGGACCTGTCCACACACCCACCTCTGACTGATTCACCAGCAGCTCCGACCATTTCTGCCACAGGGGACACTTGTCCCTGTCCTCAAACGTGGTCTCGTTGGAAGTCCAGCAGCACTGCTCGTGGCTATACCAGAAGGCAGACAGGCAGACCCCCTCCTTCAGGTCGGTCATCCAGTCGACGGCGAGATCGATGACCCCAGCCAAGGTGCCTGGAAGAAGCAGCCAGAGCCCCTTAGAGGAACAGCCCGGGGTGCCGCCTGGCAACACGCCACGTGGGCCAACGCGGAGCACACGGGCCAGGAAGGCAGGCAGGGATGCCGGTGCCTCCGGCTGCCCCGCACCCAGACAGGCAGCCTCCTTCTTCAATCTTGAAGTCACCCGAGCCAGTGGCAAGGCACCCGCTGTGGCAAACGCAGTGCCCAGCTCAGGGAGACACAAAAGCCAACGATGGGTAGTCCTTGGGGGCTTCCATCAAGCGGGACGGAGAGACACACAGGTCTGAGCTCATCACAAGCCACTGGGGCCCAACGGCTTTCAGAATCCAGCCCTTCCAAATTGTAGAAAGAGGGCACCTACACCCTAGAAATGACATTACCCCCTTGGGCGGCTTCTGGGCAGGATGCAGGGATCACACGCATTAACGTTTCTCCAGGACATATGACAGTTCAGACAAAAGGGAGACATCGGGGCTACAACAGCCTTGTCGTTTTAAGGAAGACTTTGCCACCAAATGGAACCCTGCTTGAAAAATCTCACTTATGAGAACTTGGTGGATTTTTAAATTATAGATATAGGACTGGAGAGCTATCTAAGTAAATAACTACTTTAAAGGTTGATAGAAGTGAGATAAAATAGCGTGCAGTGGGCCGCAGAAGGCTACCGTGGGTCTCTTTCTAGAATAACCCATTCCAGTCTTTTACGACGGCAGGGAATACTTTCAGGCTACTAAACTTCTCACACTTTTACTGGATCTTTATTACAGTAACAATTCCCCACTGGCATCCCCACAGGTCTCGCCAGAACACGGGAATCCTCAACAACGCGCAGGCTCTAACTGTTGCGCCCGAGTATCTCTCCAGCATCCTCTTTTTCCATCACTCACCCCAACTCTGCCCACGCCGTGTTCCTGGGCCCCCCAGGCTCTCCTCTCTAACCCACCTCAGACAGCACTGCCCTCCCCCCAGCCGGCAAGCTCCTATTTATCCTTCCAGACCCCTAGTTT